AGCGCACCGGGTTCAGCTAGTATATATATATATCCTCAACGGATTTCGGGCTACTTGTGCACCAAATAGCCAATATCATTCTAAATGGCCTGAGCTTTGGAATATCCGACCGAATTTAGTCTAGAGAGAAGTACATAAAATTTAGTGAAATTCGGTTCAGATATAGCTATAGCTCCCATATATGTTTCATCCGATTTGGTGTTTAAGTCCCTCACATTCGTAATTTGCATTTGACAACAATGATATTTGTGTACCAGATATCTTATAGAGCTCGGAAATACATTTGCCAAATTGTATCGAAATTGGCTAAGATTTGGATATAGCACCCATATATAACCCTAATCCGATTTCAGGTTTATTGTGCAAATATTAGCCAAAATTTAGTGAATTTTGGGAAGTACGCATCCATTTGGTGGAACTCGGCTCCGATATATACATATTTTGTTTATCCTTCTCGAAGTGATATCATGCACTCTATGTATAGCATTGTTATTAAAACACCTCCGTCAAATTTATTGAAAATCGATTCAGAATCGATTATGTCTCCCATATATTAGTTCCCTCTGAAACCAAATTATGACTGCTCTGAAGCCAAAGGCTGATGATCTACTTCAAATAAATTATTTTGATACGAGAGCTCCACTAAATATGAATAGTGGTGTAGGGTATCATATAGTCGGCCCCGCCGGACTTTTGACTCATCCTTACTGATTTTTACCCGGTTCTCTTTTCAATATGAAGGCATTATGATCTTCTGTGAGAGGATCTTCTAAGCATCTTTAAGAAGTCCTTGGGGTCTTCTGTAATATTTGCAATTTCAATTGAATAGTTTGTAACTCCAACAAATGTCATAACATTCAATTACCGATAATCACCTGCAACGACAATGCAACAACAGCAACAAACCGCACTACCACATGTGTGGGAGTAAATGAGAGTTTACTCTCATTTATGGCCATGTAATTGCTACAAAAACAACCACCACCACCGCCAACGAGACTGCATAAAACAGATGATTTTTGTTTTCATTTCGTGCCCGACTACCACAACAAAATACGCACAGACGGCAAGAAGGCATTTTTCAATCATAACAAAGCCATGTGTTTTGTTGTGATGACAGGATAACACGCTATGCAGACTTCGCAGCGGTCTGTATTATTTTGACAGTTAGGGTTTCTCTATTCAACTCTCTCGAGAAACATGCGCTCTTCGTTTGGGTTTCGGGAGAATCTATTGTAAAAAGCTTTATTATTTTCTGTTCGGCATTCCTTGTTATTGTGTGTTGCTTTTGTTACACCGTCTTTGTGATAGTTACAGTGTTGTTTTTTTTTCTTTCTACCTTCGTTTTCATGCCATAGGATAGAAGAAGGAATCCTGGCAAAGGATATGGGAAATGAAAAAGTATGATTGTAATATTTATTTTTAGATTTTTTTTAAATAATATTTTGGAAAATTTGCAATTATATAATGCCGTTTGAATTTTGTGGATTTATAACAGGTTGTGGAAAAGGCATATTTGTCTTCGGGACTTCTAGCATTTCATGCTTACATAAATATATATCTATTTTCTTTTATATAAACAGATTGAGTCACATACAAAGTTCGTTTATCCCCACAGCGTAAACAGTGGAACCTTGTCAAAATACAATTCAACTGAATTTACATTTCAATGGATTATTTTAATGACCCCAGAGCTGAATTGAAATTTCCTTATGGAAAATTAGCGGATTTTCCCAACCAAAAAATATTCCTTTCAACCCTGGCTGAAATTGAAATTTCCCTATAAACCAGTTAAAGAGTTTTGCCGACAGATGTATACCCTCAGCCAATGTACGATTATTTAAAAATATTTTGACTTCTGTTATGATTATTCAAATTTTTAAACCCTTATGTTGTAGGTTCCGAAAGAATGGGCCAATATTGGCCATTTCGTATCGGACCTAAATACATATTATATAAATATTGCAACGTGCCAGGTTTGGACCATATTGGTAACTTCCTTCACTTTACATGTGACCCTTTGTGAATGAGGTACCAGAAGGGTCCACAGATATATATCATCTGCACAAAAGATATTGTATTAGAAAAAATTTTGTATTTGTGAAATTTAAGGAGAGTTGGATGCTTATTTCGCTATCTTTGAGACTTTATGGGGAGTGTGTTAGTGAAAATATAAAGAGAACCTGATGCTTATTTCGGATTTTATAAACGTTATTCAAAAATTTAGTTATTCAAAAATTTGACCCTTTGTGGGGGAGGTACCGGAAGGTCATAATGGAGTGCACCTGACCTAGAACTGAGTCATTGCAAACTAGGAGCAAAATCGGATTCTTTCTTCTCTTTCTGAGCAGAAAATATTTTTTTATTTTATTTTTTTTTTTGAAAATTTCGACCTTTTGTGGAGGAGGTACCAGAAGGTACCATCTTGTCACCAGACCTTGGGTTAACAAAATTATTTCGATGTGTGAAAATTGAAGACAATCGGACTATTAACTCAAATTTTATAAGAATTGTAATTATTCAAAAGTTTTGACCCTTTGTGGGGGAGGTACTTGATGGAATGGACCGACATTGCCCATTTTCTCACCTGACGTATCACTGACGCAAATATTAGGATTCGCAAAATTGGAACAAAATCGGATTATCCTTTTTTCCCTTTCCGTGCAGAAAATATATTTTTTGAAAATTTCGACATTTTGTGTGGGAGGTACCAGAGGGAGTGGACCGATAAATTTTATTTTCACACCAGACCTTGGGTTGATAGAAATATTGGGATGTGTGAAATTTAAATGCAATCGGACTCTTACATCGCAATCTATAACAGTTGTAATTATTCAAAGTTTTGACCCTTTGTGGGGGAGGTACTTGATGGAGTGGACCGACATTGTCCATTTTCGCACCTGACGTAGCACTGATGAAAATATTAGGATTCGCAAAGTTGAAGCAAAATCGGATTATCTTTTATCTTTCTGTGCAGAAAATATATTTTTTGAAAATTTCGACATTTTGTGTGGGAGGTACCAGAGGGAGTGGACCGATAAATTTTATTTTCACACCAGACCTTGGGTTGATAAAAATATTGGGATGTGTGAAATTTCAAGGCAATCGGACTGTTACATCGCAATCTATAACTGTTGTAATTATTCAAAGTTTTGACCCTTTGTGGGGGAGGTACTTGATGGAGTGGACCGACATTGTCCATTTTCGCACCTAACCTAGCACAGATGCAAATATTAGGATTTACAAAGTTGGAGCAAAATCGGATTATCTTTTATCTTTCTGTGCAGAAAATATATTTTTGGAAAATTTCGACATTTTGTGTGGGAGGTACCAGAGGGAGTGGATCGATAAATGTTATTTTCACACCAGACCTTGGGTTGATAAAAATATTGGGATGTGTGGAATTTCAAGGCAATCGGACTCTTCCATCACATTTTATAAGAGTTGTAATTATTCAAAAATTTGACCCTTTGTGGGGGAGGTACCTGTTGGAGTGGACCGATATTGTCCATTTTCGCACCTAACCTAGCACTGATGAAAATATTAGGATTCGCAAAGTTGAAGAAAAATCGGATTATCCTTTCCCTTTCCGTGCAATAAATTATTTTTTCTTGAAAATGTTGACATTTTGTGTGGGAGGTACCAGAAGGAGTGGACCGATATTGTCCATCTCCGAACTCGATCTAAGTTTGACAATTATATTAGGATGTACCAACTTTGGATCAAATCGGATACTCCCTTCGATAGTTATCGTGCGCACCAGCCAGACAGACGGACGGACATCGTTAGATCGACTCCAAATGTCCTGAAACGGATGTGGTCCAAAGAGACCTAGGGTCTAAAACCGTTATTTTAATGAGGCACGTTTTATAAAAATATTCCACTCAGCCGTGGGAGAATGGAATATTATCGATAGAAAAATTTCAATTCAGTCTGAATGGAATATTTTCCTTAGGGAAATTTCAATTTCAGCCATTGCTGAATAGAATATTTTTTGAAGAGGAAAATTTCAATTCAGCCCTGGGAGAATGGAATATTCTCGTCAGAAAATATTCCATTCAGCGATGGCTGAAATTGAAATTTCCTCAAGGAAAATATTCCATTCAGTCTGCATTGAAATTTTTCCTACGGAACCCCTCCGCTGTCAGTTTCGGTGCGGAATTCTAACACCCCCGCACAGCCAGCTATGTATACTAAAATTTGATGCTATTTCCGACAAATTTTTTTAGCTTTTATTCAATAAAATTTAGAAAAAATGTAAAAATTATGGCTTTCGACTTTGTTGCAGTTTTTTATCTCACCCTGTAGCCCTAGCTGAAATTGAAAATTTCCTATCGAAAATATTCAATTCAGGCCTAGCTGAATCGAAAATTTCCTCTTCAGAAAATATTCCTCTTAGTCTGAATTGAAATTTTCCCTTAAAGGGGTTCCACTGTCAGTTACGGTGCGGATTTCTAACACCCCCGCACAAGCAGCTATGACGGAATGTGAATGTATTAAATCACCTTATAACCAATGTAACAGCTGTGTATCTGTGTGTGTGTGTGTTGCTGTATAGACAGGATTTTTCGCTGGCACCGAGGGAGGGTAGGATACCCCCCCCCCCCCTCAACGCTCGTTGTATCCATATGAGGAGGAATATGAAAAATTACCTTTTTTTGTTGGGATTTGCTGCAGTGGTGCTACTCCAAGGAATTATGTAAAATGGTTTAATTTTCTATTAATAAATTTTCTTCTTCTTCGATTTTTCTTTAAACTTTTCCACTAAATTTTTATTTCTACGTAACTTTTTTTCGGAGAATGGGGTTTAACAAATAAACGGCTTAAATAATTTTATTTTTTTTTTTCTTCTAATTTTTTTGGTTAAGTTTTCACTTCACTAGTTTTCTTTTGGGCTACTTTGATTTAGATTTTCCGCAGGTTTTCGATTTTTACAAAATTTTCTTCTTTTTTTTAAACTCCTTTTAAGGTATTCCTCTTTTTTTCTGTTTGCCAGTGGTTTAGAGCGACCGTTTCAGGACATTGGCATTTTGCAATAGATTTGCCGTTTTCATAAAAACAGCAAACAATTTGATGTGATTTTTATGAAAATTTGTTAATTTATTTTCATAAAAGCGACGCGCTGCCATTTCTTTGTCAGGGAGAACGTCTTGAACGATAGCTGAATTTTTCTGTACTGATTGAAAATTTTTTTTTGCCAGCCAACACCAGTATGGCCAAAGCGAGCCTGTTTTCTTTGTTCCGAAAGGATTTTTATGGTGTTGTTGTTGGTGCTCTTATCTCTTTTTCCTTCTTGATTCGGGCTATTGACAGTAGGAGCTCAGCGGCTTTGCAGAACATCTGTCAGTATTTTGCTTAGAAGAGCTTTTTTGTCGGGGGTAAAAAGCTGTTAGGCCATGGCGTTATTTTTCGAATAGGGACAGTGGGTTACAAAACGAAAAACGTATTGAAATTTCATTTCATAAAAAGGAATTGAGGAGACAAAGGATATTAGAGGAAAGTATCGTTTTAGAAGATAATATGGAAGTATCCGACGGTTTTGCCGACAGATGCATACCCTCAGCTAATGTTGGATTATTTAAACATATGTTTACTTCTGTTATGATTATTCAATTTGTTGACACTCTATGGAGTAGGTTCCGAAGGAATGCGACAATATTATCCATTTCGTATCGGGCCTAAAAAAATATGAAATAAATGTTGCGACTTTCCAGGTTTGGACTATATCGACTATTTCCTGTGCTTGAGGAAGCAGATATAGTCGACCGAAGTATTCCATTTTCATACTTCATCCAATACAGATAAAAAAATATTGGTAGGGCAAAATTATGAGAAAATTGAAGGTTTATGTCCATTTAAATCTTTATAGAAAAAAAAAACAGCCTCAGTATCCTGTCGATTTTTTCTCTATGGAAAAAAATTAGCCTCAGTTTTCTGAAGATTTTTTCTCCATAAAAAACCAGCTTCAGTTTCCAGATGACTTTTTTTCTATAGAAAAAAACTAGCCTCAGTTTCCTTTCTAATTTTTTCTAAGCCTCAGATTTCCTGACGATTCTCCCTCCATAGAAAAAAATCAGACTCACTTTCCAGAAGACTTTTTCTCTATAGGAAAAAATTAGTCTCAGTTTTCTGAGGACTTTTTCACTTCCCTCAGAATTATCACCCTTTGTGGCTGAGGTACAGGAAGGGGTTCCCAGATATATATCATCTTCGCAACAGATTTTGTGTTAGGAAAAATGTTTATATGTTTGAAATTTGAAGAGAGTTCGATGTTTATTTCGCTTTCTTTGAGCCTTTTGTTTTTTTTTAAATCTTCAACCCTATGTGGGGGAGGTACCAGAAGAAATGGTCCGGTATCTGCCATCTTTATAACATATATTGTGTTGATGGAAATATTGAGATGTGCCGAGTCTGAATGGAATCGAATGCTAATTTCGTGTTTTATGAGCTTCATGCATATTGAAAATGTTGACCCTTTGTGGGGGAGGTACCTGAAGGAGAGGACCGATATATCCTATCTCCACATCAGATCTTATTTTAGTAGAAACAATGGGATATGTGAAATATGAAGATAACTGGATGTTTATTTCCGATTTTATTATCGTTTTGGATATTTAAAACTTTAACCCTTTGTGGTGGAGGTACCAGAAGGAATGGTCCGATATCTATCATTTTAACAACAGAGCTTGAGTTTTTGGAAGTATTGAGATGTATCAAGTCTGAATGGAATCGGGTGTTAATTTCGCGTTTTATGAGCTTTATAGATATTCATTGACCCCTTGTGAGATGGTACCAGAAGGAGTGGACCGATATATTCCATATTCACAGCAGATCTTGTGTTAATATAAATAATGGGATGTGTGAAATATGAAGACAACCGGATGCTTATTTCAAATTTTATAATCGTTTTCATTATTCAAAACTTTGACCCTTTGTGGGGGAGATACCAGAAATAATGGTCCGATCTCCGTCGTTTTTCTAACAGATCTTGTGCTGATGGAAAGATTAAGATGTGCCAAGTCTGAATGGAATTGGATGTTAATTTCGCGTTTTAGAAGCAAGAGAAATATTCAAAATTGTGACCCTTTGTGGGGAGGTACCAAAAAGAGTGAACCGATATATTCCATCTTCACACCAGACCATGGGTCAGTACAAATATTGGGATGTGAGTAATTTGAGGAGAATTGGACTCTTACATCACATTTTATGAAAGTTGTAATTATTTAAAATTTTGACCATTTGTGGGGGAGGTACCAGAAGGAGTGGACCGATATTGTCCATTTTCGCACCTGACCTAGCACTGACGCAAATATTAGGATTTGCAAAGTTGGAAAAAGTCGTTGAAAAGATTATTTAAAAATTCTACAATTATTACTAGTCCTTAAAATTGTTTTATATCCTCAATTATTGTTAGTCCTTGAAATGTTTTTAAATCCTCAGTTATTACTGGTCCTTGACATTTTTTTTTAATCCACGATTATTTCTAGACTCTCAAAAAATATTTTAAAAATTCCACGATTATTTGTAGTCCTTTAAAAATGCATTTTAAATAACCACTTTTCTAGACCTCCAAATAATTATATTAAAATATTTAAGATTGTTTTTAGTCCATGAAAAAGTTCTTGAAAAAATTATTTAAAAATTCAACAAGTCCTAGTCTTTGAAAAATTTTTAAATCCTCGATTATTGCCAGTCTTTAAAATGTTTTTAAATTCTCTATTATTACTTGTACTTGACATTTTTTTAAATCTACGATTATTACGAGACCCTCAAAAAACCTTTAAAAATTCCGCGATTATTTGTAGTCCTTTTAAAATTAATTTAAAATAGCCACGATTATTTCTAATCCTTTAAATAATTATTTAAAATTTTAAAGATTGATTGTGAAACAGTCCTTGAAAAAATTATCTCAAATCCAACGATTATTATTTTTTAAATCTTGAATATTTTTTAAATCCTCGATTACTACTAGTCTTTGACATTTTTTTTAAATCCACGATTATTTCTAGACTCTCAAAAAACTTTTTTAAAATTCCAAAATAATTTGTAGTCCTTAAAAAATAAATTTTAAAAAACCTCGATTATTTCTAATCCTTAAACAAATATTTACTAAATCGAGGACCTTCAAATAATTTCTTTTTAAATATTAAAGATTGTCCTTGAAATTTTTACAATCATCGATTATTACTAGTCCTTGAATTCTATTGAAATCCTCAATTTTTACTGGTCATTGACATTTTTTTAAATCCGCGAATATTTCTAGACTCTCAAACATTTTTTTATTTGTAGTCCATTAAAAATTAATTTTAAATAACCACGATTATTTCAAATCCTTAGAAAAAGTTTTACTAAATCAAGGATTATTTCTAAATCTTCAAATAATTATATTAAAATATTTAAATTGTTTTAGTCAATGAAAAAACATATACTTTCATAATCGGCGATTAGTTCTAGTCCTTAAAAATGCATTTTAAAAATTCCGGATTATTTGTAGTCTATGAAAAATGTATTTTCAAAATAAATACATGATTATTCGTAATTCTTAAAAATATTAATTAAATAACCTGGCATATTTCTAGCACTCGAAAAAATGGTTTTAAAAATTCAGGGCTATTCCTTTGCTAATCCTTAAAAAAATATTTCAAATATCAAGGTTAATTTTTGAACTTAAAAAATATATTTAAAAAATCAACATTTATTCCCAGAGCTTGAAAATTTATTTAAATATGCACGTTCATTTGTAGACCTCAAAAAATTTATTAAAAAATTCTCATTTATACTTCGACCATGGGAAAACATTTTTTCCTTTTTGTTAAAAAATATTTGTAAAAAACCGCTGTTAGTTCTATTTTTTGCAAAATATTTAAAAAATCTGAGTTCAAATCGAGTCCTTGAAAAAATATTTTAAAAATCTACGATTATTTTTAGACCTCGAAAAAAAACTATTTAAAAGATTTTCGTTTATTTCAAACTCTTAAAAAAATGATAAATTTCAATTTTGTCCTACTATTTGAAATTATTTTTAAAATGCGGATTTTTTTAGTCTTTAAGAACTTGTAAAAAGTATTTATAAAAAAAAAACTGCTGTTAATTTTTTAAAAAATCTACGATTATTTTAAGACCTCGAAAAAAATACTTAAAATACTTGCGTTCATTTCCGTAAAAAATTGATAAATTCCAATTTTGTCCTACTATTAGAAATTATTTTTAAAATCCGGAATAAGAATACGAAATAGAATACAATTAAGAATACTTAGTCCTTAAAATCTTTTAAAAAATATTTGGAAAAAATTCTAGTTTTTCCAAAAAAAAAATAAATAAAATAGTCCTTGAAACATTTTTAAAAAATCTACCAATATTTTAAGACCTCGAAAAAAAACTTAAAAAATTTGCGTTCATTTCAAACTCTTAAAACATTGATAAATTCCAATTTTGTCCTACTATTAGAAATTATGTTTTAAGTCCGGAATTATTCTTAGTCCTTAAAAACTTTTAAAAAATATTTAGAAAAATTTCTAGTTTTGGAAAAAAAATAATTTGAAAAATCCAAGTTCAAATGTATTCTTTGAAAAAAAAAATATTTTAAGAATCTTTAACTGTTTTCAGACCTCGAAAAAAACTATTTAAAAGATTTGCGTTTATTTCAAACTCTAAAAAATGTTTAAAAAATACAATTTAGTCCAACTATTTGAAATTATTTTTAAAATCCGGAATTATTCTTAGTTCTTAAAAACTTGTAAAACATATTTGGAAAAAATTCTAGTTTTTGCAAAAAAAAAAAAAAAAAAAAAAAATTGAAAAAATCTGAATTCAAATGTAGTCCTTGAAAAAATATTTTAAAAATCTACGATTATTTTAAGACCTCGAAAATACTATTTGAAATATTTTCGTTTATTACAAACTCTTAAAAAATTGTTTAAAAAATTTCCTATTTAGTCTTACTATTTGAAATTATTTTTAAAATGCGGACTTTTTTAGTCCTTAAGCACTTGTAAAAAAATTGTAAAAATCAGCTGTTAATTTTTAATTTTTGCAAAAAAATATATTTGAAAAATCTGAGTTCAAATCTAGTCCTTGAAAAAATATTTAAACAATCTACGATTATTTTAAGACCTCGAAAAAATACTTAAAATATTTGCGTTCATTTCAAACTCTTAAAAAATTGATAAATTCAAATTTTGTCCTACTATTAGAAAT